TGCGTGTGTGTGTGTGTGAGTGTGAGTGTGTGTGTGAGTGTGTGTGTGTGTGTGTGAGTGTGAGTGCATGTTTATGTGGTTTACGAGGACACAAATTTGTATAATAACATGGGTATGACATAGGTATTACAACGAGAAGGTGATTTTGAGGACATTTTCAGTGTCCCCTTAATTCAAAAGGCTTATAATTAATTCAGAATGAGTTTTTTTGAAAATCTAAAAATGCAGAAAGTTTCCTGTGAGGGGTAGGTTTAGGGGGGTAGGGTTGGTGTAGGGCAATAGAAAATACGGTTTGTACAGTATAAAAACCATTATGCTTATGGAGAGTCCCCATAAACCATAAAAACAAACCTGTGTGTGTGTGTGTGTGTGTGTGTGTGTGTGTGTGTGTGCTCTTATGTTTGTGTGTGTGTGTGTGCTCATCTGTGTGTGTGTGTGTGTGTGTGTGTGTGTGTGTAGGGATGGGCGGAGGCTTCTCCGGCATGGACTGCATGGGTGGAATGGGAGGATTCGGTGGCAGAGACATGGGACCCATGGGCCGAATGGGAGGTAGACATCAATCCTTCCTTCAGTCTGTCTGTCTAACAGACATTAATCTAATCACATGTATTTCTGTTGGGTCGTTCTGTCTCAAACCAACCACATTTCAGAAACCTCCCTGGCTCAATTTTTTCTAAAGAAAGACAAACATAAAGAGTGATGAAAGCCAAAATATGAAATGTCATGGGTGTATATTTACGGAGTAATCCAGTATTTTGTAGGGGAGGGATGATATGACAGTTTTACCTGAGATTTGGAACCAAGTTACAAGAGGGTAAAAATGACTTAAGAAAGATGGCAACATCATTGTGTTATTGGCAGCTCTGTTAGTAAAATCTGCTGACTTTAGCAATCTTAGCTGCCGTATATGTTAGTTCTTAACATGCTTTTCTTCTGGTATCTTATTTTTTTAAGGCTCTATAGCGCACATTTCCAGAGATATGGCCATTTCAATACAGCTCCAGGAGTAAATTGTTAAATTGTGCTCATTTTCAGTGAACCAAATGTGGGTCACTTTGCATTTAGCAGAAAGTTTTTTTCTTTTGAAGAGAAATGTTTGAAGAACAAATAAGGCTGAAACTAAAAATATATCTTGTTTCCCTCAAACAAAACAATTGCATAGAACAGACCCGTCTGAGTGACAAAATACTCTTTCTCATGAAGTATTAAAGGTATCTTGATATAATTGTAGATTCTGATTGTCAACTAAAGTTTCTTTTCATGTTCATTTTTAAGGCCTTATATGGTTTAGTCCCAGAGATATGGGGATCTCAGTGTGGCTCCATGGGCAACTCTTCAATGGTCAAAAGCCAAATATCAAACCAAAGTTTTTAGCCAGGCACCTCTGGTTGAGTCGACACAGAATGACCATATAGTGCTTTATACAATACAGATAGTTTCAAAGCAGCTTCACAGACATAAATATAACAGAATACTATATTTCAGTATCAGTCTATAATTCAGATCAGTTCAGTGTTCACTGATGTTTGTGCAGATGTGTATCGCTCTGGAATGGGAGGAATGGACAGAGACTTCGGCAGAAGGGACATGGGGATGAACCGCCCGTTCGGAGACTCGTTTGGAGGTGTGTGTGTGTGTGTGAGAGAGAGGGGGTTGATACTGCAGTGCTATAATGACACAAGAACAATGTGTACAGATCATTAAAATGGCTGAAATATGAATGTAGACATGGGGGAAGGAACCCTAATGAGCTCACTTGTTGTTTTATTTTGAAATATAAGACCTGATAATAGGCCTGAGATAAATTACTTGTTTCTAACTAAAAGCAATCAAGTTGGTTCACAAAGAGCGCGCGTGTGTGTGTGTGAGAGAGTGTGAGTGTGTGCGTGTGTGTGTGTGTGTGTGTGAGAGAGAGAGAGAGACGGAGTGTGTGTGTGAGAGTGTGTGTGCGCGTGTGTGTGCGCGTGTGCGTGTGCATGTGTGTGTGTGTGAGAGTGTGTGTTGATGGTGATGCTGACTCTCTGTTCTCTGTCCATCAGGTGAAGGATATGCAGGAATGGGGAATGCTGGGATGGGACCCATGGGCTCTGGATTAGGTCACTCATCTCATGCTCTCACACACAAAATTACATGTATATATACTTCACTTTGATTTGACATAAACCCTATTTAAGGGTTTCTGCAGGTCATAAAGCATCTTAATTCACATTCCATAAATTAAAGCAGAAAGTTTTAAAGTTGTGGCATTAAATGTTGCATGTAAAACAGTAGGGCTGCACAATAAATCGCAATGAAATCGCAAAGAACTGTTTTTTTTTTTTTTCAATAAGTTTTGTATAGTATTTTTCTTTACTCTTTACTTCAAAAACTGTCTAAAAAGGGTAATATTATTTGTATTTGAGGTCTGAGATGTAGGAACGGTGAAGAGAGGGAGAAGGGGAAACATTGCATTTTAGCTCAGCATTGTCGTCTAATCAGCCAATATTGTCTTAAATAGCCTGCATAGCACTTCATCTTTTATAACATGGGATTTTGAACAAATATATTCAATCTTGATTGTTGTAAAATGTTGCAACAAGATGTTAAAAAACTTTTTTGTGTGTGTGTGAAAAATTACAGTTTTGAACGTATAACATAATAAAAAATATTTTAAAAAATACCTTAAAGTAACTACAAATAAGCATGTAAAGCAAATACCTTTAAAAGAAATTCCGTGTGGAGCATGCCCCCGATCCACGTAATGTTCTCACCTTTTTCCTCCCTTACCTGTTTGCATCTCACAGAAGGATTTATTACAACACTCGACTGACGTTATGAAGTGAGTTTGGAGTGAAAACATGTAATTAAATGTGGTATTTTCACAGATGTAGCAGCATTTACTACACAGCCGTAGTTCACGGAGAATCTACGCAAACAGCTTTCATAATCGCAGAACGATTTCTTCGATTTCATTATGAATCGTGCAGCCCTACAATACAGAGTTTCTTCCTCAGTATTTCTGTTTTGTTTTCCAGCACAAATATTTCAACATCCTTAAATCAGGACCCATTTACTGGAGATGCAAAATGAACACATGAAGACTTGTTTTCTGAGCAATTGAACATTTTATCAATGTATCAATCAATCTGAGTTTATCTTAAATAAAAATAAATAAAATAAACTGAAAAATATTAAATCTTGTTTTCTGATCAATTTATCAAAATGAAGTGAATTTAGGATAAAAAGTGAAAATAATAAAATTTTTCAAAGGAAAAACAGGGTTTCTTATCTAATTTTTCCATCTATCTTGATTTATGAATAGCTTTTTGTGAGTATGTGTGCGTTTGTGTGTGTGTGTGTGTGTGTGTGTGTGTGTTGTTGGGAGATTCGCTGAACATAAGTTAGACTGTCAGCTATGTGGGCCATAAGTGCTTCGTTTTCTTTGTAATTTAGAGGGAGCACTTTGCTAAGCGAAAAGCAGAACGTGAGATGGAGAGGCTTTTTTTGAAGTTCAACTTCCACACAGTAGTTCTTCAGGGTTCTCACAACACAGAAGATATTTTAAAAGCGTTTGTGCTTGAAAAGCAGCTAGGAAGAAAGAAAATGTCTGATATCTTTGCACACACACAAACACGTTCAAGCTGTGGCTGGGGCTTCAGTTGCTCGACACGGTCAGACAACTCCCGCTGAGATGTCACAGTTGCTGTATGTGTTTGTGCGGTTGCTGACGAGCGAACGCAGCTTATGAGGAGAGACAAATTCACAGTTTTCACACCGAGCACAGTGGAAATGCCTGATGAACTGATATGATCAAATAAGGAAAACATAAGGAAATGTCAAAGTTAATTTTGACATTTGTTTTGGTTCAGAAATTCAACTGATGGTTGTCAACTGTGTTTGGTTGTTTTATCTAATCTTTCTTGTGAAAAAAGAAGCGTGCCTTACTTATATCGAATGTGCACTTGTGGAGTACTTCAAACATGGGAGTACATTTCATCTAACATTTGGGGTGATAATAAACATAAAATTTCTCAAGAGCAATTTTTGAAAGGGACAGAAAGATGTTTAAGGCCAAATTGCCTTAATATGGGGACTTTTTGTACTTACTTGGCATTTTGGCGCACTGAAAAATTATCTTATGTCCGTTTTTCTTTTCTCTGTCATTTTATCTGGCCAACAACACAAAGCGATAGTTATTTAAATTCTTAAAGTTAGGTTAAAATTCTTAGAGTTAGGTTCGAAGGTTCACCACTCGGTCATATTATAATTATTAAATTATCTTGGGTCCTCCACATAGTATTTTAGGTTTTGTCTATGACAGAGGACGTCTAGATATTCAACTGCACCAAGCCCACTGATCTGCCACTTAACATCATATTGAGCAAAACCCAACACAACGGTAGATCTTCAATATTGACCTAATATCAGTTCACACACAGGCTTATCGCTGTTTTAGTTATAGTGGGTGGCCTATCAAACAAGCTATGGTATAAAACAAGCTACCATCAAGCTAGGTAACGTTATAATCGCTAACATAGCAGACTCATGGAAAAATACATCAGTTATCATTTTCTCCCTCTTTTGTGTGTGTGTGTGTGTGTGTGTGTGTGTGTGTGTGTGTGTGTGTGTGTGTGTAAAATGAATTAAAAAGTAATGGAGATCTGTAGGAAGTTGTTTTTTTTTTTTCAAACTGTGAAGTGTTGCTAATACAAGACATTTACATGTTGATGTATTGTGTTGCATTCAATTTATTCTTTACATTTTCTTTACTTGGCCTTTAAAAAAGTTTTAAATCTACTTTCATAAAACCTGCAGAAGCCCTGCCTTTTCCTGAGTAGTTCATATGACTCCGTCATTGTTCACTGTTCTGTATGTGTGTATATATATATATATATATATATATATATATCGTCTCCACTGAAGTGTGCTTGATGAGGATCGTCTCTGTGTGTGTGTGTGTTTCCACAGCTCTCGTACGATCTGACCTGGCAGAAGCTCAAGGAGAAGTTCAGTTACTGCGGTACGTGCGTTAACTCATTTCTGATATGCAGCAGATTAATAGAAACATAAAAATTGGGCGGATGTGTTCTTCAGGTCAGGTGATGTACGCTGAAATAAAGATGGAGAACGGCAAATCCAAAGGCTGCGGCACGGTGCGCTTCGACTCTCCTGAGAGCGCTGAGAAAGCCTGCCGCATGATGAACGGAACCAAGATCAACGGACGAGAGGTTGATGTTCGTATCGACCGCACCGCTTGAGACACACACACACATCACAGAGCCCAGCTTTTGTTTTGTTTTAAAAACATCATGACTGTCATATCAGCGATCTCACCAGCCGCTTCAGCTCCATGTGTTAGTGACCACTAGTTTTTTTTGGTAAACATTTTAATTTGTGGGACGTTCGTGTCGGACTACATTTTAAAAAATAAAAAGCTGGCTGTTGCAAATTTTGTCTTGGTCTCAGTTTGTCAGATCAACACAAACGATTAAGTGTAAAATTAGTTTATTATACTTTATTATTAACTAGATTGAAAAGTTTGTAGACAAACTTTAAGTTGGCTTGAAAAAGCCTAGCTAGAAAGTTTGAAAAAGTTTTAAAAGCTTGCAGTCTGAAAGTTTTCAGTTTGAAGTAGTTTGAAAGCTAAAATAGTAGCAATACAGTCTATCAGAAAAACAGATAGGTATAAAACTTTTTTTTTTTTTAGGTACCTAGGGTGGTTGCTAGGCTGTTTCTAGAATGACTAGCATGTTGCTAGCATGTTTTTAGCATGATTAGCCTGTTGCTAGCACGATTAGCATGTTGTTAGCATGATTAGCATGTTGCTAGTATGATTAACAAGTTACTAGCATGTTACTAGCATGGTGTTAACATTTTGTTAACATTTTGTTAACAAGTTACTAGCATGTTTCTAACATGATTAGCATGTTACTAGCACGATTAGCATGTTACTAGCATGGTGTTAACATTTTGTTAGCATGATTAACAAGTTACTAGCATGATTAGCATGTTACTAGCATGTTAACATAATTAGCAAGTTACTACCCTTTTTGCTAGCATGATTAGCATGGTGTTAGCATGATTAGCATGTTGCTAGCATGTTAGCATGATGTAAATTCGGTCTGGGTCTCAGTTTGTCAGATCAACACAAACGATTAATTGTAAAATTAGTTTACTTTATTATTAATTATTATTTATTACTTTATGTATACTGCTATTTTGTATTATGAATTTTTTTTTTTTTAATTCTCAAAAAATCTTTTTTAGGAATGTTCTGAAGACAAAACTTTAAGAACTCATAATCTTTTACATAAATTTACAAAATTTTAAAACTCACCAAGTCTTCAACGATGTGTGCGCAATAGAGTTTGAGTTCATTAGAGCTTTACACATAACAACAACTACACATAATACTGCTACTATATTACAAAAAAAGTGTCAATATAGGCAGATATGTGTGTGAGTTACTATTGTAAAGTTTTAAATGTGAGAGGAGGAAACCATCAGACATCAAAATCTGTTATTTTATTCTTAAAGGGGTCATCGGATTCCCAAGTTGGTATTTTTGATTAAATAAATGCAGCCTCTGTGAGCAGAAGACACTTCTTTAAAAAAATCTTACTTACCCCAAACAGTTGAACAGAAGAGTTGCTACAGGTGTGTATGAATTTATACAGATATGATTATCACATTACAAGCTGGCTTTAATGAAACAGTCAGAAGTATTTATACAAAACAAATAAAACTCACAATACTTGATTCATACAGCTGACCTTAATAAACGAAATGAGTGTATTTCTGATTGACGGCTGAATCAGCGTCACAAACAAACAGCTTCCAGTGCGGTTTTCTTAATTATAATTGGAGCGATTTGGTTTTGAGAGGTTAATTCAGAGGGGAATAATGTGTTTTTAATGAACGCTGACGCTGTAATTCTCTGCCCACAGACAGAGCAGAAACACTCACAGCACAGACGCTCTTTAACAGATCTAGAGCTCTTCTGCTCATTCACTAATCACTCGCTTCCCACGCAGAAATTGTTCATTTAACGGACTCGTTTTACAAAGAGAGACACCAAGACTCAGATCAGTCTGCTGCGGACCACTGAGATGCTTTGAGCAAGTATTAAAAACACACAGAAGTGCCATAGTGTGACTTATCCCAGTCTATCAGCCTTCTCAATCAGACCTCTTCTCTTGTAACTGGATACATCTGATCTTTATTATAACATACAATAAAACACTTACTAAAAAATGTCATAAAAATATGCAATTAAAATAAATCAATTATTCAAAAACAATCCAAATAAAACACTTATTAATAATTAATTCATTAAAATGCAGAAATAAAATAAATAAATTGAAATTAAAAACGATGGGAAAATTATTAATAATTAAATCATAAAATGCTGAAATAATTTAAAATTAAAAACGCAATAAAGCTTGCTAATAATTAAATCATAAAAATGTAAAATTAAAATAAATCAATCATTCAAAAACAATTAAACCAAAACATTTTGTAATAATTAATTAAATTAGTCGTGTTAAAGTCATGATGAAATGCAAGTAGTGACAGATATTTTCTTTCATATTGTGACATACATTCGAGTGTAAGAAGAAGAAGAAGAAGATTGGAATATCGGAAAGAAAAATCTAGGGCGGGACTTGGTTCTGTGCACTGGTTGTTGATTGGATGCTGAGATGTGGGCATGGCTCTTAAAATGTGTATGCAGATGCAGGGGCGGGGCTTAAAGACACTAAATGGTTGGAGAAATCGTATATATACCACCAGAGAGAAGATCCAGTTATGTTTTGATTAAACGATACAAGGCCAAAAATGTTTTAAAATAACATATGCATGAACGAATTGTTCATAAGATGATCTGCAACATTCATTTAAAAAAATGCATGTTATTTCACACTGTGTGACATTTGATGGTATTTAATAGTTATTTAGACAGCTCTCAATCATATGTGATATTGCTTGAGAATCTGTACCTGATTGTAAGTCTAGAACGTCAAGTTTAGTGAGGCCATCCACATCACTGATCCTCTGGATTCTAGGACATTGCATTAAAGAACAATGCATTGAATGCAGCAGTGTGAACAGAAAACACACTCAGAATGACTGAAGGGAGTCGTGTGAACAGGAGGAAAGTCATTAAAGTCACTGGGTTTGTGTGCGACTCCCTCGAGACGCAGCACAGAAGCGGCTCTGAGAGGAGAGATCCGTTACGATGAATCCCTCGCAGACTCACAGAGAAACACTGACAGAGAGTAATGAGATCCTGCGGCATTCAGCATGAGAAAGCTCCAGAGAGAGACCAGGTGTCTTCAGGAGAACGTGACGGCTCAGCTCTCGCCCCAACAACAACATGAGAAATTATACAGTGCAGAAACGAAGCCTAATGCATCCTGATGCTTGAAAACATCTAGATCATATTCCCAAAAGAAAAAAACAAGCCCCATATGAGGAGCAGTAAATCTTTTATGCATTGTCATTCTTTACACAACAATTATGCTGAAAATTTCAGTAACACTACTTGAAGCATTTATATACAATGCATTATAAAAGTATTTTTAATTATGCCTTCTAATTTACCTTATAATGCATCGCATGTCCTCATGAATAATTGTAACCAAATTTATAATACCTATCTATAGTTTGTTTCACCTTTAGAAAGTACAATGCATTAAATCATGACAAACTATCAATTGCAAATGCAAAGAATCTGCAAGTATTATATTGCATTATAATTTCAGTTACAATTATTTATGAAAAGATATCATGCATTATAATGTACGTTATGAAGACCTTTATAATGCATTATCATAAAGTCTTAAAGTGTTACTGAAATTTTCTGCATAATTGTAAAAAAATTCGGAATGCAAAAATGATTTAATGCTCCTCAAATTGGGCTTGATGATTTTCTTTTGGGAATATGATCTAGACCAGGGGTGCCCAAACTCAGTCCTGGAGGCCCGGTGTCCTGCAGTTTAGCTCTAACTTGCCTCAACACACCTGCCTTTAAGATTCTAGTATGCCTATAAGAGCTTGATTAGCTGCTTCAGGTGTGTTTGATTGGGGTTAGAGCTAAACTCATCAGGACACCGGCCCTCCAGGACTGAGTTTGGACACCCCTGATCTAGACGTTTCCAAACATCAGAATGCAACTTACTGAATTAAACATACGAGCTTTAGTTCAGATATCAAACGCTGACAGTTTAACTGGAGTCGTGTTGGTTTTAAGGCAGGGTGTGAGCATTCCTGTGAGATTACACATCTACAACAGGATGAGAGAGAGTGTGTGTGTGTGTGTCTCTCTGTGTGTGTGTGTGTGTGTGAGTGTCTGTGTACTGGTTTATATATCCTGGTGGGGACTTAAACCTGAATACACACAGACTCATGGGGACTCGTGTCACGGTAGGGACCTAAATTGTGGTCCCCATGGGTACAAAAGCTTATAAATCATACAGAATGAAGTTTTTTGAAAATCTAAAAATGCAGAAAGTTTCCTGTAAGGGGTAGGTTTAGGGGTAGGGTTGGTGTAACACTCTCTCTCTCTCTCTCACACAGACTCACACACACACACACAC